CAACGGGGGCGGGAAGGGAGAAAAGCTCCATCCCTGCCAGCCATTACCAATCAATATTTTTCCACTGATTTCACCATTGCAGCTGAAACTGACATTTAACAACATGTATTGACTTAAAATGAATCCTACCAAACCTGAAAGCAAGTATGGAAGACCTATATTACAACACCTGGTAGAGTGTTTTCCACTGAATTTCAATATCAGTCATTTTCAGAATCCAGAATTGTTTCATTCACTATCAGTGACAATTTGCCTTGTTTTCACTCTAACAAATACTAACAACAATTCATGTCACTAAAGGAAATTCCAGTTTAACGTGTTAACTGGTTCTACAGTATTTGGCAGCAGAATTTTGGAAGAGAGCAGCAAGTCCACCATTCTATTGGTTCTAATGGCTAAGGATCTTGTAAAATAATGTGAAAGAGACCAGGTTGTACTGGAGTATTCACTAGAGATGAAATACTTTCAGTGAGAGAGTAGTGAATTATGATGCATTTTAATAGATGACCACAGGTGAAGTTCATATCATGGCCTGTCCATTATGAATAACTGCTCTAAAAGATGGTCTAGTTAGCTTTTAGTGGTGTGAAATTTATGCTGCATTCAGGATCAGCTCCAGAGCCCTAAAGTCTATGTACAGAATTTCAATAGATCCAGCCTTCAAGCAGCCTTAGTGAGGTGTAATTTGCAGTAGAGTAAATAGTAGAATTCATTCAAGGTAACCTTCAGTTCATTACAGTGAATGTAACAAGTTGAAAAAGTAGACCGGGAAAGGGGGGCTGCATAGGTGAGCAGGAGATAAGGACAAGAAAGCAGAAAGATGGAAATAGAAAGCAGTACAGATTGTAAGAGCAGAGATGGGGCAGAAAGGAGGACAGAGACAGTGAAAGGAAGGAAAAGGGTAGGTGTCAACACTGAAGAAAGAGTACAGTGTTTGGAGAGAGACAATCAGTATTGTACTGATGCCACAGATGAAATAATAAAAAGGAGAAAAGTGATGCTGATGGCCCTGGACATGCTACAGTACTGAAGACTACAGGCTCTGGTTACAGTCAGCAACTGGGAGGAACCCTTAATAGTTTTAATGAAATCTATGTTCTTTTGCCCTGGACCCTATTAGAAGGGAGGAGTACTACAGATATGAAGACACCAGCATATAGTAAAGAGCACTGAGCTACTTTATTTGAAATGGGCACATATCAGTAAGGCTACGTCTACAATGGCATGATTTTCTGGGAATGCCTTTGATGGAAAAGTTTTACGTTAAAAGCATTTTCGGAAAAGCACCTTTTGCGGAAAAGCGTCCATGGCCAATCTAGACGCGCTTTTCCGCAAAAAAGCCCCGATTGCCATTTTCGCGATCGGGGCTTTTTTTGCGGAAAACAAATCTCTGCTGTCTACACTGGCCCTTTTGTGCAAAAGTTTTTTGGAAAAAGCCTTTTGCCCGAACGGGAGCAGCATAGTATTTCCGCAAAAGCACTGACAATCTTACATGAGATCGTCAGTGCTTTTGTGGAAATTCAAGCGGCTAGTGTAGACAGCTGGCAAGTTTTTCCGCAAAAGCAGATGATTTTGTGGAAAAATTTGCCAGTCTAGACACAGCCTTATTGTTTATAGTCAGTTTTAAAAACACAATACTTATTAGCACCTTGTTACCAGTGAAATTTGTAATTGTGTTTAAACAAAAGAAATAGTAGCTTGATAGAGAATATTTTTTATCAGGCTCTGAAAATATAGTTTCAAGTATGTAAAATCTTTGTGGTACTAAAGAACAAAAAGTAATAGCTAACAAGTGTTAATGCTAACAACATTTAACAGCCCTGACCCAAAAATGAAAACATTTTCCTGAGTGATACTCTAAAAAACTTCCAGTTGTCATAACAACCTACTGCAGTTCTTTTAGTGTGGCTACAAAGGAGAACTTCCATTTGCTTTTGATACTATTAGCAGGAAAATAAAGCCTCCCAAAGTTTAAAAACATTACTGTTATTTAAAAAAAAACCAGAAATGTAGAAAAAGTTACCTCAAAGAAAACTAATTTCAGCTCTTTGAACTGTGCTCTGTAGAGATATGCCTCTGAATCAATTAATCTTTGGAAACAGCTATTTTGTCCTGCTCCGACTTCATTCAAAACCTGCAGGTGTGCATAGCATCTGGGTAAATTGCATTCAGCACATAAATAAGCGTAAATTAACCTTTAAAAAATTTATATGCCTGCTAAGGCCTCCGGCTCATAAAGGTTCAACAGACGTGCTCCAAAAGTCATCATTCTGGAGCATCTGAGAGATCAGACTAGTCCAATGGAATATCTAATTTTGAGAGGTTCATTTAAAATGTGAACTTAGATATTACAGTGAAAGTTGCATCAGAAACAGGTATGAAAGAAAGATAGCTAAATGTTGTCTTATATACACTTCTTTTGTTAATGTAAAAGAGATAACAGAAGATTTAAACAAATCCATAGGAAAGAAACAAATTGGATGCGCCTGAGCCCAGTTCAATATTTCAGCTATCAGTGCTATTTGCATTACTGAAGTGCCTAAAGGTCACCAATGAGATTGGACCTCGTTGCAGAGGGCTCTGTCCCAGATATACTACAATCTAAATATTCAAAACAAATAATGGGTGTAAGTCAAAAGAGGTGAAGTGACATGCACAACGGGTCAGTGGCAGAGCTGGGAATAGAAAACATGTCTTTTTATTCCCAGTGCATTCCTGTTCCACTTAGTCCATGTGGCTTCCAACTGACTCAGTGATTCAGTTGATGTCGACAGGGTTACACTAATTTACAAGAACTGAGAATCTGGCTCCAGCATTTGAAAGTGTTTTAAGATTGATACCTTTAGTTCTCCCTTAAAATAATGTCTGAGCTTATTAAGATGGCTTTAGAATAGCTCGTGTAGAGATTAGAAACCAGGCAATCATGCATCTAGGAAAGGAATATTAGAACAAGAAAGAGTGAAACATTTAAACTGTTAATATAGCTCTCTAATTTTACTTCTTTTGAAAAATATTGCCTGGATTGCTACAACACCACATTACTATTCACAGATGTATCTATTGCACAGGAGAAAGAAATCCTCTTTATGAGCAAAGTCTTCAAAGGCATTCAAATGCTTTTGAAGATTTAGCTCTCTATGGCAAATAGTTTTAAGAGTGGAACACTTTATAGAGATCATATACCATATGGAAATTAAGTAACTGAAGTTATACCATTGTGTCAATTAGTATCAGGGTTCAGTGCTACAGACACTTATGCACGTGCTAATTTAACATTGGGCTTTTCCATGTCAAGTGTCACTGGTGGCAATTATTTTCATGATGCAGATACTCAAGAGGGACTTGAATGAGAAACTAACTTGACATGGGCCACCGGAAACTTATTGTATGGTATCAATCAGGGCTGGTGACAGACTTCATCAGGCCCTGAGCAAAGTGGGAGGAGGAGCAGTGGCTCCAGGCTCCCCAGAAGGGGCAAGGACTCAGGCAGAAGGGGCAGAGTTAGGGGCTAGACTCCCCCAGCCATGCCGTTCAGGGCTCCAGCAGCAATTTAAAGGGCCCAGGGCTTCCGCAACTGCTGCTACTGTGGTAGCAGCCCAGAGACCAGGGCTATTTTAAATCACCAGGCTCTGGGCCAGCTGCCTCCTTTCCTCCCCCCCATCAGTAGCCCTATCAATTTTGGGTAACAGCTGACTTAGCCATATTTTAAGTAGAAAGTATCTGTGTTATGAATTCCCAAACCATTCCAGTGCCACTCAAGGAAAAGGAGTCTCTCATTTCAAAGGAATTCTGTCCTGGTATGAAATGCTGAAGACCCATTCAACCCAATGCAGAGCTGGTCAAACAGTCAGAAACAAGAAGAACAAACATTTTTCTTGGTATTTGTCTCATTTCCCTATCTAAGGGCTGTCCATCAATCAAACAGGAATATATTATTTGTGATTGTTAAATGCGAGTTATGAGTATATCTGAATCTGTCATGTTTTAATGAACAGCTTGTAGCTAGTACTCAACAGAATATTTAATATTTAAAACTGAGCATTTGTTCTGTGCAGTTCACCCCTGGGTCACATAATGTGAGCCCTATTTCCTGACTTGACAAGGTAACTTTTATAAAAGAAGCAGTGCCAGAAAAAGTCATTGGAGTGTTGAATTTCTCAGGTAGATGGGAAACAGTTTAGGGAAATAAGTGGGGAGATAATCAGGACTACAAATCTTTAGCAACCTCAACCTCTTGTTCCCTTGTACACACAAAGAACATTATGCCTGACTACACACATGATTGAGGAAAAGAGAAAAATCACTTGGGTTGTTGGTTATAATAGCCTTTTTCACAATCACACTATGAAATCAGTAGTGGGTAGCTAGATTAGCGCTTCTCACGCAGAGACCCTTGTCCATGCATGACAGTGCTCAGTCCCACATGAATAATAATATGGCCATGCAGCTAAAATGTAACTATGCAAAGTAATGTGCCTCACTGTACTATGCCAGCCACCCTTTCTGAAAGCAGAAAGGACCTTTCCCTTATTGGTAAAGGTGCAACAGCCAGAATATTGTGTCTAAATCTGATTCCAAGGGAAGAATAATTCTTATAATTTTGTTTTAAGTTTTAAAATTAGTATTGTGAAAATGAGTAAAAGGGTATGATGATTGGGGGGGGTTAAATTGTAACTTGATGTTCATGTTCTCTGTAATAAAAATTGCCTCTCTGTAAGAAAGCAATTAACCCTGTTTTGTGTGATCAAGGAATGTGTGTGTAAGGAGATAAGTGTGAAGGCCACTGGACCAGATGTGTTAGGGAAAAGCTGAGGACAGACATAAAGGCGCCAGAGAGTGCTGTATATCCCCATCGAGATGTAAGCAGCGGGCAGATTAACGACTCTGAAAGAAGGCAACCATTTACCAAATGGGACAAGATATTTGTGATCGAAACCAACTTAGCATTGCCAACAAAGAAGATAAGGAGCAAGACAAACAACCGGAGATAACAAACATCCATCAGAAAAAACAGCATAGCCATGCAAAACTTATCCCAATGAAAGAAAACTGCTATAAAAAGGAGCTGCTTTGCCATAATTTTGGGGGATGTCCTGCCAAGACTGGAGCATCAATCTGGACAGATAGACTCCTGCTCCTCTGTCTGTTCTCGATCTGATAGGCCACCAACCATGGATGGGTAAATATAACATCGATTGGTGGTACAGTGAGTGTGTGTGTGTGTATGTGTCTGTCTATGTCAGCATATGCTAATTGCTTTGCCATTGTATTCTCAATAAATGCAGTGTATTGCCTTTTCCCCCTGTAAAGAGCCCGTGTGCTTCTTATAAACATAAAACCAGCTCCCCTCCAAACATATGTGAGCTGTTAAATGGTCTGTTTTGAGTGAGACCCTTGCTGAATTTCTGGAACTTATAGGTAAATAAATGTTTTAAATTGCAGCAGGCCACAGCTTGCATTTTGCCAGACTCAAAAGTGCTAGGGTGCACTAGACCAGACCTCTGCATCTTTAGACACTCCCACTTTCTTTAGTGGGCCAAAATAAATATGCAGAGATGTGGGTTAGATCATTGAAGTCGGGCTTAAATTCAGGCTGCAAAGTGAATTCTCTCATTTCTACTAATCTGGCCCAGGGAAAATTCCTTCCTAACCCCAGTTACATCAGCTAGACCTTGAGCATGTAGTCAGACACTCGGGAGAGATATCAGTCAGACACCCGGGAGAGAGTTCTCTATAATAATTCAGAGCTCGGGCCATCCCGAGGTGGGTGAAGAGCCTAGGCCAACTCTTCCGCCACTGCAGCAGGCCCAAGCTCTACCTCCTCCCCAAGCAACACAGCCCAGGGAATTATGGGAGTTTAGCATGGTGGCAGCAGGAGTTTCCCCTCTCCCCAACTCACCACACAGGCATCAGGAAGCTGAAGCAGCCTGGCAGCTTGCTCCACCTCGCTGTGCTGCCCTCCCAACACACTGTGCCTAGCTTCTCTGCGACAGCAGGAAGCTGCACATAGTGGGGCAGGAGAGAGTGGTGGAGCACAACAGAGCAGGCTGCTGGGCTGCTCCAGCTCCTGCTGCTGAGGTGAGCATGGGGTGGTGACTCCTGCTGCTACCACGCCAGGCCTTCAGCCCCAGGTAATCCCATGGGTCCCATCCATCGAACAATTGGGGCGGCTGCTGTGTGGCCCTCAATAGTGCAGGACCTGAGGGAGCTGCCCAAAACTGTCCTGTGAGTGGGATGGCTCTGCACAGAGTCCACCCCAGCTAGAGTTCCATCAATTTACCACTGGAGATAAATTTTCTGTGAGCAGTTGCTGAGGAGCTCCACGCCACTGTTGGGCGTTTCATCATACCATCCTTTCCATACACATATCAAACTCCGACATAGAGCCAGTTGGGGGGTTTCCTCCCACTAATCCCCTTGAGAGGCTGCTCCAGAATTCCACTCCTCTGAAGGTTAGAAATGTTCGTTTCTGATTTCAATCCAATGCAAATCTTATCTGAAACATTCAAGCCTCCATGTCTGCAAAAGTTGGCTATAATAGGAGACTGCAAAGTCATGTAACAGAAACGTCTTTTATTCCCCACCCCAGAGGAGGTGGAAGAATTGAGAATCGTGAACATTTGTAAAAGAATTTGGAGAACCTCAAATCAAGGAACTCTAAAAAATGCAAAATCTCCTGTTGCCTTCTTTTCTATTCAGTTTACACTATGGAACCTTGCCTCTAATATTTTGTTTTAAAATTAATGGCCATTACATTTTAATGTAGAGAGAAAGTAGGCAGAAAATTAAGAATACTTTTCTCTCTTTGCTGTTAGGGACTCATAGATCTGCAACTGGCTTTCAAACAGAACAGAGCACTTTAATAGCATTAGGGCAAGGGAACTATAATATGACCTTCTGTTATCTGATTCTAAAAAGCCCTCCAACAGAATCACCCTAACCTCACTTGGAAAGAATTGATTTACATTATTGTAGATTGGTTCACAGTTCAACAACCAGGAATCTATCATATTCTACTCTGGATCAATGAGGCCTATGTACTCAATACTGTGGAATATTTATATGTGCTATAGATTTAGTTGATCAGTAAGACTAATTAAAACAATGCAAATGTGCTATTGATGCTGTTCTGCAGGATATGTGATAAAATGTGGAGGCTGGGAGAGTCAGAGAGAGGCTTCAGTTTTGTATAGCTAGGCAAGTATGTAGGGGACTGCCACTTTGTTGGTGACAGCTTACACGCCAATGCATACAGATACATGGAGGCACTGTCAACAGGTTCAGAAAGCATTGTGAATGGCAGACCGACTAAGCAGGAGGAGCCTGGAGCGATGGCTGAGGAAAGAGCATGCTGTGCCTCTGCTTTTCCGCATGCACCTGGAGCAGGAAGTGACCTTGGGGGGATACTTTTGGGTATTTTAATGACAGACAGTTATGCTAAATCCCACAGCTCCAGCGACGAAAGCTTTGAATTACAGAGTAGCACTAGGTCAAAAGCTGAAAACCTTGTTAACAGCAAAAATAAAGATGAAGGCTACCAATGCTGTCAACTAAAGCACCACCCAAATGGAGGTGAAAAAAACCCTGGTCAGGAACACTCATCTCTATATCCAGTGGGAAACGCCAGCCACAAGTTTCACAGGCACAGGAAGGTGCAAACCAAAAGCAGCTCATCTGCATCTGACTTGAGTCTCGTGAGTCAGGGATCATCAAGCTCTGTCTCTATTGTGGAAGAAAAAATTGAAGCAAAGCTCAAGTTCTCTCAATTTCTTAATGAAGTTACTCTCAGAGTGCTCGATCCCATGAGCCTGAAGGCATTTAGAACTGCTAAGATGAAAAATACCTGTAGGTCCAGCGGGAGAAGCCTGGAGAGTTTACATATTAAGAAAAAATCTTCTGAAAGCTGGAAAGAGAATGCTCCAGTCAAGAAAGCTCTTCAGCAGACAGACCTAGACAGCTTAAGAAGTGATGACACTGTGGTCAAGGCAGGAAAACACAAGCTAGAGAAGTCTGTGTCTCTTGATACAGGACGATTTGGCAATGGTATCTCATATACAGCAAGTCCTAAGCTGCCTGCAGAAACCATGATTTCTCAAGTCAGTGATATGTCAGCCAGAAAGTTTGCTTCTCTACCTCAAAGTACAAGCATGGTGAGCCTCTCTCAAATTACTTCTTTTGGTTATGCAGATTTAACAGTACTGAGAGTATTGATACAATTATGTGGGAATTGCAGTTAAAGTCTCTGTTGGGTGGGTCTTAATTGTATGCTAAACCTTATTCCCTAAGTAGAATATGATATTGGGTATGTCTACACTGCAGCTGGAAGCAACCCTCCCAGCCTGCCTAGACAGACTCATGATAGCTCAGTGTAAGTAATTAGTGTAATGCCGACAGGCGGAACTGAACCTGGGACCACTGCAATTTTGTGCATGGGCCTCTAATACATGAGATAAAAGCCAGCTTGCTCACAACTATGGCTATGTCTAGACTGCAGCACTTTTCCGGGATACCAAATGTATCCTAGAAAAGCAATGTCGCATCTAAGCAACAAGTCCACTTTTCCCAAAAAAATTTCAGAAAAGCGGACGCGCGCTTTCACCATCCCTGTAAACCTCATTCTACGAGGCATAAGGGATGTGTCGAAAGAGCAGGTTTTTCTGAAGTTTGGCACCTTGTAGATGCACCAAATTTTGGAAAAGCTGCTTTCAAAAGAACATCAAAAAAAGATACACAATTTGCATACCACAAATTGCGTATCTTTTTCCCATTTAACTCTGCAGTCTAGATGTAACCTACGGCTACAGGGGAAACTCATTCTTTCTCTCTATAAGAGGTCTGAGTGACACTATATGTGACAGTGAGCCACACAGAACAGGTCTACGGGTTACACTAACACTTTGAAAATAGCAATATGGATATTGCAGCACAGGCATCAATATTGGCTACCACTCCAGCTCTGAGCCAAAGCTTCTTTGCATAAGTCTGTCTACCAAGGACAGGAGGTTCACTCCTTGCTGCACTGAAGACATCCCAACAGAGGGGTCCTTTTCAGAAGCTGAAGACACCATCTGTAGGAAATACGGGGTGGGCTGAGGTGGGGGAGAGGGACAGGGAAGGCAACGTAAATCCTACCACTCCTTTCCTCATCCATTCTCTGAAAGCAGGACTAGGTGAAGCAAAATTCAGCATGTTTATGCTTTTGGGGCAGATCATCTGAAAACCTCTCGAGGTTTAAGTGACTGGCATTAACAAGTCTAGCAAAAGAGATTCCTTTCTGCATATTGTAAAAAGCTAGATTAAGAAAAGGGAAAGGGGAAAGGGAGAGAAATTGTTCTGGGCTGAGGCTGTTGACTCTGAGTGGCAACAAATTAAATTGATGTATTACCTTATTTTTAAATCTTGGTTGCAGTAGCTTTTTAATTGTTATTGAATAGGGTTGTCAGACACCCTACGTGACAGAACTCTGAACTGATCCATAAAGTAATTGTGCTCCAGGAGCATTAATTGCAGGCCTGCTAAAAAACTACATTAGCCCAGAGACTGTACTTTTTAAACAGACAGCTGTTAAAGCAATGGGCTCTCAAAAAATCTGTTTCATATCAAGTGTTGCCCATGAGAGGTTTGCACGTGAAGAATACAGTAGGTCTGTCTATTCCATGCAGTGGACAACATCCCCATGCTTCCAGTGAGTTTCTTCTAACTCTAGTCATTTAACGGAAGTATCAGCAACCCAGGTTAAGGATTGTATAGGGTGCCCTTGGATGTTATCTATCTACTGCAGGGGTCTCCAAACTTTTCTGCCCGAGGGCCGCATTAACTATCAAACAGCAGTTCGGGGGCCGACTACACACTTGAGGTCCAAATAAAAAACAATCAAAACATGGATGTTGTTTTTAATTATTTATTTAATATTATTTTATTCAGTTATTATTTAATAACACATTGATACACTACACATGAACACCTGTATTAGTGTGAATGGTGAAATTGTTTCCTGGATGCCAAAATAGCAGACATTTCTGGCTTTAGAAATCACTGTTTGAAATTGGGGGTGGTGCTTGTCCTAGTCCTGCAGGAGGGGCTCCAGAACGGGGAAACTGCTGAGAACTCATTTCCACCTGCGCAATGTGATGAAAATTGTAAGCAACATAATCCTGGCATGAATCAAATAGTGATAGAAATGTAGCCGTGTTAGTCTGGGGTAGCTGAAGCAAAATGCAGGACAATTGGACTGAATCAAAGAAAGCCTGAAGGGTGGGAGATAATGAAATAAAGAGAAGCTGCATTTTCCAAAGCAGGTCACAACCCTGGCATAGAAAGTGAAAGAGCCTTTGCATAAAAAGAGGTCACCTCAATAGGCCTCAGATCAGATTGTATGGCAGGAATCGTGTTTTCTTTGACGTTTCAATTAGCCACTTGTCACATCATCTTTTCCATTGCACAAAACCACCCTCTACACAGACCTGAGAGGCTAGGAATGTTCAGCCAACCAAGCAGTATGAGTGACTAAATGTTCGTTGAGTGCTTTATAATTCCAATCAGTTAATGTAAGCATCAGCCTACTTAAAATTTTAATTATTCAATTTAAGCATCAGCCTGCTCTAAATCTAGTCGTTTAACGTTTAACATGCATCTTATAGCAGCAAGCCATGCTGAAGACAGAAATGTGTGAAAAATGAGTGGTGGAAGAGGAAAAACCTTACATACAGCCCCAGTCACTTGCTTGGGGCTCCTTCCTGTGAGATAAAGTTACTGTATAATTTTGGCGGGTTATTAGAAGTTCCTGTCTGAATATTTTTATCTAATTTAATATGGGGCTATTGGAAGAACATGCAGAAAAATAACACAATAAGTAAACCTTGCAAGTCAATGGCATGTTCGAAGTGACCTGACTATATTGCCAGGCTGAGAAATAACAAAAAGCACTTCTCTGCAGAGAAGGGGAGGGGACTTAGAAAAACTAACCTATGAGGAAAGCTTAAAACACTGGGCACGCTTAGTGATGAAAAACAAATGGGGGGGGAGGGTAAGGACTTGATAACAGACTTCAAATCTGTTAAAGTTCTGTTATAAAGAAGATGGTGATCAATTTTTCTCCATGTTCAGTAAAGGCAGGACAAGAAGAAATGGGATTAATCAGCAACATGGGAGATTTACATCATATATATAAGAAAAAAAACCTTCTGACTATAAAGGTAGTTAACTATGGAAAAGGATTTCAAGGGAAGTTGTAAAATCCCTTAATTGGTGATTTTTAAGAACAGGCTGGACAAACACCTGTCAGGGGTGGTTATATTTATTTGGTCCTGCCTCCATGCACATCATGACTTCTCAAGGTTTGTTCCAGCCCTACATTTCTATTGCTGCTTGCACTACAGGTCTTCTGACTATAAAGGTAGTTAACTATGGAAAAGGATTTCAAGGGAAGTTGTAAAATCCCTTAATTGGTGATTTTTAAGAACAGGCTGGACAAACACCTGTCAGGGGTGGTTATATTTATTTGGTCCTGCCTCCATGCACATCATGACTTCTCAAGGTTTGTTCCAGCCCTACATTTCTATTGCTGCTTGCACTACAGGTCTGTTGACCACACCTGGCCTGGGAGCTGGAAAATCAAATGATTCCATCCAGTGTGTACAATAGAACATTCATTTTCTGTTGCTCAAGTGAAGAAACGCTATCTGCAATTTTTTATTAAAAAAGTACATCTTAGTGAAATATGAATTAGACTATCATGTGCTTTCCGCTCCCCCTGAATAAATGAAAGATTAAAATGTTCTAAAAGTTGAAAGAATTATAATAATAAAAAAGACATTTATACAGACTGACAACATTTAAATTCTATAGTTGTTTATAGAACGTCTTATGATTCTAAGGCCTTACAGGAAACATTGTGATACTCTAGTTTAATCTATAAAACACAGGTCAGAGAATTACCCCAAAACAATCCTAGAGTAAAATCTTTTAGAAAAACATCCAGTCTTGATTATAAGAATCCACCACAACTCTTGGTAAAGTGTGCTATGGTTAATCCCTGGTCAAAATTTGAGCCTTCTTTCCAGTCTGAATTGGTCTAGCTTCTATTTCAAGCCATTGGATCATGTTATACCTTTCCCTGCTAGACTGAAGAGCCCATTAGCAAATATTTGTCCCCTTTGTCGATGCTTATAGACAGCAATCAACTCATCTTTAACCTTCTCTTTGTAAAATTAAATAAACAGACTCCAGGAGCTTATCACTATAAAATTTCTAATGCTTAATCATGTAAGTGGTAATAGGATAATACCACTTAACTACCTTTTCCCCCTCTAATATCATGGCTGCTTTCCTGTCTTATTATTTTGGTGGTAAATTGCTAAGTTTTGCTCCCCTCTGCTTTGTATCTCAGAAAAGACTCTACAGCTCTTGGTAATTTCTAGCTTATTGTCCAAACACATATTAATATATGCAGGACAGTGGCTTCTTCCTTCTGTCAAATATGTGAAAAAAGAAAATGGCTATATTCCTTTCACTATGTAGGGGGTGACACCACCTATTTCAGTTTATTAAAATAAGCATTTTTGTTGTCTTCCTAAAAAAAGTGAATTTAATACACAATGCCTCAACCTTTGCTATGGTACTCTGATATCTGCATACTGTATCTTGCATAGTCCTGTAGCATCCCAAAAAAGCTATATGCCAAAATCATCAAATTTGGATGCTCAAAGTTACACCCCTGAACCTTGGTCAGTTGGATCAGGCCATACTCGGTGTTTCTGAAGATTAAGTGCATAATTAGAAAAACTTGGCTTTGAATTTTACGTCAACACCCACTAATTTCTCTAATCTAGTGCTTTCCCACACTACACCCTGTGAAACTGCCAGTATGGTAGGGCTAATACCCAATTATAATGAAGTGCTAATGAATAGTTTTCCATATATCTTATGCATTCACTGTGTGTTCTCTTGCAACCTCAGGTATACACAAGGCCTTATAGCAGGAGCACCAAGAGTTATAGGAATTTATGTCTAAAAGTCATGGTAAAAATAATGACTCCTGCCATGTAACTCCTCAGTGACTCATTTGCTAGCTATGAAAACAACATTGTGCCTGATAGTAACAGAACAATTTAACAGAGCAGGTAATTATTAAACTCACCACCACCACTTCCCACCCTTCCACTTCAAAGCATGACTCATAAATATGGGGCACTAGATCTTCTGCCACTGCTTTTTCTGTGTGACTGGTGCTGTCATGTAAATGCAATTCCATCTTTTGAGGAATAATGTTCAATTACTCCTCTTGTCATGATAAAGCCAGAATCAGCTCCTTTGCCCAATGAAGCATGTAACCATCAGGTATTGCAGGACATACCAATGGAAAATTTTTTGAGCAGCAGCACCTGGGGTTCTGTTATAGAAAGAAACAAGATAAACAGATTGTGTTTAGAGTTCTCCTTGGCTACTCCAAAACCTCTCCATTGTTTACTAATGGAATCTGTGTTTTCTTGACTACAGTGCAAAAAGCTCAAGGATTCAACACAAGATGTATATGGTCAATTACATTTTTCTCCAGCTGTCACATAAAGACTAGATCAGCAGCTATTCTAAAATGCGTGGATAGCTGCAAGCCAGTACACAGCAAATGGGTAAGAAATTTTCTGTCTAAGCTGCTTGGCAATGGAAAATGGGTGTGTTGATTGGCTAAATTTTTCCACAGAAAGAGGTCTGCTATTTGGCTTTCAGATTAAAATTTCCCCATTTTTTGGTTTGTTGCTGAAAAATCAATTTTCCCACAGGAGGAAAAAGTATTTTCCTTCTAGGTCTACAGTTTACCTCCAGACAGGCACTTAGTAAAGAGAAAATCATGTACTAGATTGAGTGATGCTAGGCCCTTACAATTCACACTGTCTTTAGTATCTCTCAACATGTGGCAAAAAGGAAAGCAAGGTAATGGAACCTATGTTTGGTGGGATTCTACTGCAATTTTGTTAGTGATATGTACCCCATCTCTTGCCAACAAACATTTCCCAATTGTGCAGTTTGCCTTTGGCTGAGATAGTGCATGTACGAAGAAACAGTGCTATTACAGCAAAATAAATGCTACCAGGCTATGTAGCGGACTGTTGTCGATAACAGTGTTTCTCAACCAGTGGTACGAGTGCCCTTAGGGGTACTTGAGAGAATTCTGGGGGTGGAGTGGGTATATGTCAACACAACTGAAATTTGGAGAAAACTGAATTTTTGTTTTAAGTTTTACAGCGCTTTATTATGTTCATGCTTTTTACACCCAACAATTTCATCGCCCACCTGGCTATGATTAAGTTGTTTAAACAAATGTGTTACAATGGTAGAAAAAAATCGTGTGTGTCTGAAAACTGTAGGTACTGGGGGTACTTTTTTTTTTAAAAAAAAGGGGGTACTTAATAAAAAAAAAAGGTTGAGAAACACTGGTTTTTAACATGACTGCAAACTGAATACATGCAGTGTTGTTGTGACCATGTATCCACCTAGTCTTCCAGCAGACTGAACAGTTAACCAAAGGAAAATAGGAAGGAGGAATGGGATAGCAAATATAAGAAATCATTGGTTTTTAGGTACTGATCAATTCTCTGGCACAGTTTTTCCTCTGGTATAACTTAGGGAACAGTTTTTAAAAGGGTCATTACCCATATTCAGTGACTGTTAACTGATATCTTTTCCTACTATGGTCTTTTGGTATCACACAAACAGATGGATTGCAGTTTGAGGTGAATCTCGTAGGCTCAGAGGGAATCAGTGTCACAGCAACTTACCCTTTTCTGCATAGTGAAAACCTGAGTAGTTCCAGAGGAGGCACTCTTCTTGCTTAGAGTTCAAGGGAAATCCCAAGGGTAAAAGCTTGCTGTGTTGTGGCATTTGCATGAACAAGGGTACCATTTTGGAAGGGCAGGGGTACTATAGCCATGCATGCCAAGATATGCTGTGTACTTTTCTTTCCTTTCCCTCCCTATCAGGCAGAAAGTACACAGCTTGCATGCATTTCTCTCACTCCCGGTTGCTGAGGGGAAGGGCCACAGGAATATATGTAGCAAGCTGTGTACTTTTCTCTTACTCCCTGATAGTGAGGGGAAGAGGAGAAAGCAAGGAGTATCCTAGTATGCGTGGCTGTAGCCCTCTCCTCCCAGCAGTCCCAAAATGGTACCCTTGCATTTTGCATTATTTGCATTTTTGTACAACTCATTCTTTTGAATTTCAGAGTCTTCCAGAGTGCAACTAACAGAAAAATGGTAGTAATGTCTCACCAATTCCCCTGTGAACAAAATAAAGATTTACTTCCAAAACTGAATCCATCACCACAGGTATTAGTGGAGAATTAGAGAGAGAGAGAGAGAGAGAGAGAGAGATTAATATTCCTGTACTTTCAGCAACAGTTGGGTTTTAAGTAATCCATCTTCTAGGTCGTCTGACATATCAAGGCCTCAGTGCTATGTAGATTTCAGAATTATATTAGAAACCTTAGTCTTAAAACTCTAATTCTCAAATGAAGCATTGACAGTTCAAGGGCAGAATCCTTGAGGAGTTAGACTAGAGACTGGAGTGGATATATAAAGTGTGGATATTTCTGACACCTACTATGCTCCCTACCTGCTCTTTCCCACTCCTTGACAACTTGTTGCATTATTGTTACAGCCAGAGAACGATGAGGACTAAGTTTTTATTTGGCTTGGTATGGGGGAAACAGGACAGAGACCATTCAGAATGATCTTTTAAAAGAATACTTTTTATATTAAGTTCAATCAGAAGGGGATGGAATTGCTGTAGCCAGGTGCACAGAGCTGGCCTTACCATGAGGAGAACTGAGTTGGCCGCCTCAGGTGCTAGTCTGTGGGGGGAGGGGAGCACTAGGACCAAGAGTGTAGAAAATTGTGTCCGCTGCTGGTGCATATGTAAGCACTAGGACCAAGAGTGTCGAAAATTGTGTTCGCTGCTGGTGCATATGTATTCTCTCTCCTCTAGATGCACAGAGATGGTGGAGTGCCATGAGAGGAGTAGAACAGGAAGAAGGCAAAATTGAGACCTTTCAAAGTTTTGGCCTAAGCGAGGGGGCTTGGGAGCATCATTTGAGCTTCCTGCCTCAGATACCAAAATATTGTGGGCCAGCCCTGCAGGTGCAAGGGTATTTGTTTCAACAAGCATCCCTTTGCTTAGGAGCTCTGAATTGACAGTCTCTATTCTATTCGCTGGACTTTCTACAATGCATCCACATCCTTTCTGTAATGGAAGCCCCAGAATGGGATATAGTACTCCAGATGTGTCCTCACCAGCACCGAATGGGATATAATACTCCAGATGTGTCCTCACCAGCACCGAATAAGAATAATCACTTCTCTAGATCTGCTGGCAATGCTCCTCCTAATGCACCCTAATATGCCGTTAGCCCTCTTGGCTATAAGGGCACACTGTTGACTCGTATCCAGCTTCTCATCCACTGTAATCCCTAGGTCTTTTTCTTTCCTTTTTCAAAACAAGAAGGAAAGAAAACCTCCTGGAGCTTGTGGGGAGGGAGTGGATGCATAAGTTAATTCCTTTCTCAAAACAAGAAGGAAAGAAAACCTCCTGGAGCTTGTGGGGAGGGAGTGGATGCATAAGTTAAAGATGGACACACCACATGTCAGTTTAAAGTTCAGGGTCAGTGACATGAGTAGGACTTAGGTTAACAGTAAGCATTCCAACATCTAGCTCTGACACCCAGTGGAATTCATAGCCCCAGTCCTACAATGCATAGGGAGAGTTAGATGCCTAAAAGGGGGATTTCATTGAAGCTAGAACACTGAGTGAGGAGCTGTCCAAGGTAGCCAATAGTTGATGCCAAGGAAAGAGGAGTGACCTAAGCCTTGCCACTCAAATAGCCTTAGCATTTATCTCCAGTGGTTCTGGAAGTAGAGGTGTCAGGAGTGCTGCCACACCCTCTGACTAGGAGTAATAAATTCCAAATAGATGGTTTCCATCAGCATGCTCCTGTTCTAAAATTGTTCCTGCATGCCTGTTTATCTCCACTTTGATAAACATATGGGAATCTTCTTATGGATTTATGGACATAAGCCAAGGCAGTCACTTTTCATGAAAAATATGTTGGTGGAGTGCCCCCTCAGGAAAATCTGCACTTATGCCTCTACCATGGATCAGGAAACATGGAAATTTGAACCCAGGTCTTCCACATTGTAGGTGAATATTTTAGTCACTGGAATATTCAATTGACTGAGGTATTCTACTACCATCTGCTCCTCTAAACTGTCTAAACTGTGGAGTGGATGTGCAGTGAGCATGCCTATGGGATCTGGCCCCATAGCTGAAATAGGCAAGGGAACTTTTAGCAGTGAGATAGGTGTCTAACACCTTGGCAGTACCAGGACTTAGTTGGCTTTGTGCTGGCCACCAGAAGAAATGTAGATGCCTAAGTATCAGGGGAGGGTGAGCTTTGTGAATAGCACTGATGATATAGGAACCAGTCACAGTGTAGGTGGGGGTAAGCCATGAAGAAGAACTTTCTCTTGTAGAAAGCTATGTTTCAGAGACATTAAATACAAGGTACTACCTGCAGCCTGAATAAAAACAGTAAAAAGGAATTATAATAACCAAGTCTTTTCTGTTCTCTCCCACAAAAGGCATTCCAGAATTTCTTGGAATTTGAAGTGACAGAGCGTCAGATAAATAGCATCTATCAGAGATAAATTAGTCTTCATCAATGATCTAGCTGACACATTTCTGTTTGCAAGTCTTTTGCAAACACTTCCTAATTTCTGAGACCACAGTGTTCATGAATTCTATGCTTTTATTGTTCAACCCTGGAGGTGCGAGATTGATCTCAAGTCTCATGGGAAACTCTCCCTGACTGACTAGTTGCAGTTTTTTAAATAAGAATACTGATTAAATAAATAAGAATCTTCTTCAAACACACATACTCGTATTCCCCTGAGAATAAAGATGTTCACCCAAAAAATGGCCATTCCCAATAGCTGTACACACAAACATGATCCAACTGTACATCTATTCAGAATTCATATCAATGCCTTCAAACCCTTACTTTAGCAGAGGTCAACCAGCTTCCTTTGCAGAAGAAACTCACACAATGTACTAGATAATCTTTATAACCACAAATCAAACATAAAGGTCCATAAGCAAGCAGTCTGGATTAAAAATCTTTCTTCCCCAGATAATCATCTTTCTAACACTCTAGCAGCAAAACCCTTAGGCTGCGTCTACACTACAAGGTTTTTGTGCAAGAAGTCTTTTGTGGAAGAGTTCTTGCGCAAAAACACGTCCACACCTCAAAGCACATCACAAAAGTGATGTGCTTTTGCATAGGAGAGTGTCCACACTGCATGGACGCTCTTGCACAAAAAAGCTCAAATGGCGATTCACAGAATGGCCATCAGAGCTCCTGTGCTTTTTCCCATAGAGGTTCCTTGTGCAAGAAACCCCTCTGGAGCATCCACACCTGCCTTTTTGTGCAATAGCTGTAGCACAAATGGGTGTTGTACTTCATAGAAGTAGGTTTACCTACACCAGCAAAAGCCCTCTGTTCTGCCATTTTACTACTTATTTACTTGCACAAAAGCACATGTGAGATGTGAACACTCCAAAAACAGCCATTTTGTGCAAAAAC